GTTGCTCAGAAGTGCCCTAAGGTAGCCCTTGGGATCTAAGGCGGACATCTGAGCGGCTCCTGCTTGTCTCCCGTTCTTCACACTCATTTTCACACTTGATCACACTACACTCAGGTCCTGGGCAGTGTCACCCTTCCTGGGCTCTTGACCCCTAAACGCAGTATAGACAGGTGCCGCTCAAGGGGAATTCTGGTCAGGCTCTTTAGTCTGAGACGTGCTTAGGAAACCCAACACCAGAGGGCGCTGTAGGGTGTTGCTCAGTGTGGCTCACACACACAGATGCATAGACACACAGACACACATGCACTTGAGGTGGGTAGTGTTGGAGGGTGTTTTGTTTTGTTTTGTTTTTGTTTTCAAGACAAGGTATCTCTGTGTAGTGCTGGCTGTCCTGGAACTCATGCTGGCCATAGACCAGGCTTGCCTCGAACTCACAGAGATCTGCCTGCCTCTGTCTCTGTCTCCTGACTGCTGGGATTAAAGGCGTGCGCCTCCACTGCCAAATACGTTGGAGGTTATTAATGACTCTGGGCGGGAGATTTTCTCAGGGACTGTCTGCCTCCCTGTCCCTAAGTTCTCAGACTGATGTGTCTGCAGATACCACAGCCCTCCACAGTGTACAAAGTTCCCCGAGGCCATCTGTTATCATAACAGCCCTGGAGGTGAGGGAAGGCAACTTGGAGGCCTTGCTGTGACCAGCATTCATATTGGTGCTGGGCCAGGCCCTGTACTGGGTGCTGGGAATCCGAGGAGGAACACGTTTGGCCGTAGCCCCATTAAGGAAATCCCTAGTTCTGGGGAGCCAGGAGGGGTTGCCCAGCTGCCAAGGGTTAGCCTCTCGGGGGTAAAGGAAGGAGGGTGCAGGTCGAGCCAGGCACACAGGATGTGCCTTGGGGCATCCTGAGATGTTGTGCAGTTGTAGTGGATTTTGGTGGAGCCTACAGAGAGGAGATGTTGGGGCAGGAGGTGAGGAGGTCAGCAGATTCCCAGGTCATGCCCTGGCGTCCCCAGTGGCATATAGGGACCACAGAGCATCCTTCAGAACAGCCGCCCTCGGTCTTACCACATCTTACGCCTCTCACCTCCCCACATGAGTTCATCCGCAGATGCTGATGGGTACAAACCTAAAGGAGAAGGAATCGTATGAAAGATACGGAGTTATAGGGCTGGAGAGATGACTCGATGGTTAAGAGAGTTTGTTGCTCTTCCAGAGGACCTGAGTTCAGTTCCCAGCACCCACGTGGTGGCTCACAACCATCTGTACCTCCTGGCCTCTGCAGGCACCAGGCATGCAAGTACACAGAGACATACATACAGGCAACATACCCATACATGTTAACTTTTAAATATGTATAGTAAATATATTTACTCTTAAAGTAATCCAAACAATGTTTGGAATCCAAAATTCTAGATTTGATGTTTTTTTTTGGTATTTATATATTTGTTTTACTTGTTGAGCATTTTAAATCTGAAAACCCCAAACCCGCAGATCCAAATTCCCAAATCTTCTGAACATCACGTCTGTGCTCAAAACATTTCAGATTTGGGGGTCTCGCTTTTTCGATTGGGCTGCCTACCTTGAATCATTAAATACACAGAGCAGTCTCAAAGACAGACACTTGTCCGTTTGCTTAAAGAGAAAAGTCCTGCATAACCGTGGCTCAGTTGCCCGTGCTGCTTTTCATTTTCTCTTGCAATTTATTTGTTGAAGAAACTAGGTCATTTGTTATGTGGATTTCTCACTGGGTGGATTTTGCTGGCTGTGTCCTCACGGGGACGTTTGGCGTGTTCTCTGGCTCCTGCGCTTCTGTAAGCCGGGATTTGTCCCAGTGGCTTGGTAAGATTCACGCAGAAGACACATTTTGTCCTCCTCTCTCTCTCTCTCTCTCTCTCTCTCTCTCTCTCTCTCTCTCTCTTAAGTGACCATTGTATAATGGTTTTCAGACAGGGTTCCTTATATGAAGCCTGCTTAGAATGTGGCATGCAGCCATGTGGAAATTTCTGACCGTCTTTCCTCCACTTCGCAAATTCTGGGATGCCGGGCGTGAGAAACCACATCGGGATTATTTTGTGCTGGGGATCCAACCCAGGCTTCCTACATGTTAGGCAAGCACTCGCCAGTGAGCCGCATTCGTAGCCCTTATTAGTCCCTTGAAACAGGGTCTAGCCCAGGCAGGCCTAGAATTCATCTTCCTGTCTCAAACTCCCCAATCTCTGCCCTACAGCTCAGTGCATCCATTAATTCTTCAATGGCTTCAGAATAAAAGGGACTGGATTTCATCCTTTCTTCCACACTATTGCCTGGGTTATGTTTTCAGACAGAGACCCCCTTCCCTTGCTGTGCAGAGAAAGGCAGGGTAATGCTTCGTTCTCTCTCTTTGTATTTCCCATCTTGAGAAGTAGGTCGCTTTGCTGCCCTTCTCCGGTAGTGGCTGTTCTGAGTCTATGACCTCATGAGCTTGAACACACTCACTGCTCAGGGCATGACAGTCCCTGCCTAAAGCTCAGGCCATCTATCTGTGGCAGCTTCCCGAGTCTTCTGGCCTAGATAGGGAGGCTGGGGAACCTCCTTGACTGGTGATGTAGCCAGATGCCCAGCAGGCAACACAGAGGCCAAGCAGCAAAAGCTACTGTGAACCCACCCTATGCCAATTCTAATGGCTGTGATGCAGGAGGGGAAACTGAGGCCACCAGGGATCCTGACTCTGGATCTCCGGCCCGGGAGCCTCATTATCTGCTTCTTGGACGACCGTGGGCTCAGGGCCAAACCCTGCGGTTGACTAATGATCCTCCCAGGTCCCCGCTTATCTCTCATGCCCTCTGAGGGCTCCTCCTCCTTCCATGGCTGTCCAGAGTACCCAGTGCAGAGTCTCAGGGGAGGAGGCGTGGCTCTCCGCCGTTGGGTACGATTCTGTATCCCTGGGCAGTTTCTCTGGACCTCAGCTTACCCATCTGTGCAGTGGGATGACCCCACCTTGCATAGGCCCCATTTTTTTTTTTTTTTTTTTTGTATTCAGTGTTCTGTCTTTAGAGAAAGCTAGAGAGACAATGCAAGGGGTTAGGACAGAGGTGAAAGCTCACAGAGTTGGGTGAAGGCAGAGGTAAAGAGGGAAAAGGAAGCAACTGGCAATACTGGACCATGCCTGGTTACAGACCTGGGCCCAGGTTGCTAAGCCCGTGTTGGAATCCTGCCTGTGGCAGTCTTGGCTAGCGACTTCCAGGGGCATCATCCTGCATAGCCTTGGGGGTTGGGGGTAACACAGTAGACAGCCGTGTGCCTGGCACCTCACAGGGCTCCTTCCAGAAGAGGGGAGGTAGTGCTGCGCCCGGAGTTGGCATCTTCATCTCCCTAGAGACAGCTCTCCTTTGTGTGTGTCCCCGTTGATAGTGTAAGTTGTGTAAACAACACATCCCAAAGGAGTGTGAGGGTGGAGGCTCCGACCAGCACAGCCTCTCGGTGAAGCTGCCGCTGTGTGCCAGCCAGCCTGTGTGTGTGGACGCTGCTGTCTGAACCAGGATGGCTTTCTCCTAGAAGGAACTGCCTGTGCTCTGAGTGGGGCTCAGCAGTACTTTGTTCACACACGGTGGAGTGAGCTGGTTGTCCTGCCGTGGAGGGCTGAGTGGTTCCCCTTTCTGCCTGCCGCCTGCTGTCAGAGGACCTCTGTTTGTCCTCTTGTCCTTGGGGACACCTCTGCCAGCTCCTAGGACATCTCAGAGCTGTGGCCGGTGCCAGGGTACTCCCTATTCTCCCTCCCCTCCACACCATGGGCGCTTTTGTCCCTTCTTCTCCTGCCAGACTCAAAGCGTCTTGTGGGAATGTACTATGTCTGGGTCATCTTGGTCCTCAGTGTCTAGCACAGTCCAGGGCCCACCCAGGAGTTCATACAGCTAAATAACTCATCTGTCAGTACACAGGCCTGGGTTTGAATCCCAGCCTCAAACCCAGCTCTACCTGCCTCCAAAGACCATGAGCTTTTATTGTTGTTTTCCTGACCCTGCGACTCTGGATCAATGACTTGCCCCCTCCGAGCATTAATTTTCTCACCTGTCAAGCCGAGATAGAGCCATTTGGAAAAGTACACTGACCTAGTCTGTGTCAGGTCCAAGCCCTGGAGTTTGCAAGACTCTCTATAAATACTAGATACTAGAGTCCTAAGGGGTGTCTTGCGTTTATGCATGCAGTCAACATATGTGTAACACACGTGCACCTGGGCCAGGAGGATGTAAAGCAAGAAAATCGGAAGCTCTTCCCGCAGGGAAGCTCTGCCCATGGGAGCTCCGCCCACGAAGAAGCTCCACCCACGCGGAGCTCCGCCCACGGGTTGCTGACACCAGATTGTATCGGACCTTGAACAGCACTACTGGGCACTTGCTGTAATAACCCAGTGAAAGTATGGATTTTAGGAACGTCCTTGGCCCAGAGGCTGAGGGATGGGGTCCTTGTCTGGCCTAGAGTTAAGGCGGACTTCCTGGACAACAAAATGGCCACTGAAGGAGGAACTGTGAGGAATGAGGGCAAGGAGCTAGCCTGGGAGCCCAGAGCAGGGCGGTAGGGTGGGAGACCCCTTAGGAGAGTGACATCATTTGTCCGTTTGCTGCTGAGTGAGAACCAGGGTGGTTGTGGGTGTCAATGCCGTTGCAATGACTGGGAGTCAGAGATGGTGAGGGGGCAGGGTGGCGCTGGTGGGAAGGCAGGAGCTGAGAGGATCTGCTTAGGTGGAGAGGGAGACAGAGAGGAGTCTGGCATGGCTGCTGGTTTCCAGCTGGGGCTGCCTGGATGGCTAGGGTGGATGGAACAGTGTGAGGGAGGCTTGTGGCTAGAAGGGGCCCTAGTCTCTGACTGACAGATACGGAACCCAGGTCCCAAGACCAGAGTGCTGACAAGTCCCAGTGTCCATGCAGTGGTGGGCTGGAACCCAGCACTCCCGTTTCTTTGGGGTCATGCACTGCCTTTCTCTCAGGAGTCAGATGCCTCTCAATGTCTTCATCTATCTCCCTAGGTCATCCCAGACTGGAAGGAGCAGGAATGGGACCCCGAGAAGCCTGATGCCTATGCCGGCATCTTCCATTTCCACTTCTGGCGCTTCGGGGAGTGGGTGGACGTGGTCATCGATGACAGGCTGCCCACAGTCAACAACCAGCTCATTTACTGCCACTCCAACTCCAGAAATGAGTTCTGGTGTGCCCTGGTGGAGAAGGCCTATGCCAAGTAGGTGTGGCCAGGCGGGGTGGCCAGGTGGGTTGACCAGGCGGAGCTGTCTGGGTGGGATGACCAGGTGGGTTGACCAGGCAGAGCTGTCTGGGTGGGATGACCAGGTGGGTTGACCAGGCAGAGCTGTCTGGGTGAGTTGACCAGGTGGGACTGTCTGGGTAGGATGACCAGGTGGGTTAACCAGGTGGAGCTGTCTGGGTGGGTTGACCTGGTGGGTTGACCAGGTGAGTTGACCAGATGGGTTAACCAGGTGGGTTGACCAGGTGGGTTGACCAGGTGAAGCTGTCTGGGTGGGTTGACCAGGTGGGTTGACCAGGTGGAGCTGTCTGGGTGGGTTGACCAGGTGGGTTGACCAGGTGAGTTGACCAGATGGGTTAACCAGGTGGTTTGACCAGGTGGGTTGACCAGGTGAAGCTGTCTGGGTGGGTTGACCAGGTGGGTTGACCAGGTGGATGGAGCTGTCTGAGCGGGATGACCAGACCAAATCATCAAGCCAGTGTGGACTGTTGCTGGGCGTCCTGGGCCATTAGGATGCTCTGTCACAGAGAGGTGAGGGACTGGTGTCTACAACATGATCAGAGCCTCAGCCCAAGGACCCTACCTGCTAGGTCTGTTGGGGGGGAGTGGAGACCGAGATTATGAGAAGAGGAACTGGGAGCAGATGGGGTTCAGGCAGGCATCACGCAGTGTTGGGTGCAGGGTTGATACCCAGGGCTATGGCGGTAGATCTTACCCTGGGGCCTTTCCTGGTCTGGATGGCAGACCGTGGCCCAGATGCCTGTCCTCCTCTTGTAGGACCTGGCACAGAATGAGCAAGAGTGTGCTGAGGAGTGAGACATTTGGGGGCAGGAATGCCAGCTGGTTCTAGCCAGCATGGAAGGGGTCTCTCCCTGGGTTCTCTTCCCAGGCCTTTGGGGATGTGTGTGTGTGTGTGGGGGGGGGGGGGTGACAGAAAGTGTGAGAGGAATCACAAGAGCCTGCATGGAAGAGAGAAAAGGAAAAACAAATCCAAAAGAAAAACCCCTGAGAATTTAACCCTAAGACAGCAGAGCCAGCCCCTTGGTGGCCAGTGTGTTTTCACTGCCATTGGTGGGGCTGTGGTGGAAGGCCTCCTGCTGACTAAGCAAGTGCCCCACTGCTGAGCTACAGTTCCAGCTCGTAGTTTGGTTTTTAAATAAAGTTTTATTGATTATAAATGCAAACACACGCGCATATATATATATATATATATACACACACACACCCACACATACACAGTACTTCTTGCTAAGCCACCAATTCATTGTCCAGTAACTACTACCCACAATGCTGTCACCATTACCTACATCCAAAATCTTCCCACGCACACCCCAGCAGAAATTCTTCCCCATCAATCAGTAACTCCGTTTTCTCTCCCTGAAGCCTGCAGAACTCTGTTATTCCTGCCTGTGAACCTATCTCTCCTGGGCACCTTGTATACAGGAAATCCTGCTATATATGTTTCTCTGGGTCTGGCTTCTTTTACTCAGCATGATATATTTTTTTAAAGATTTATTTATTCATGTATTCTATGTGTATGAGTGCTCTATCTTCATGCACACCAGAGGGACTCTGATCCCCTTACAGATGTCTGTGAGCCACCACGTGGGTGCTGGGAACTGCACTCAGGACCTCTGGAAGAGCAGTCACGTGTTCTTAACCGCTGAGCCATCTCTCCAGCCCCCTAGTGTCATATTTCCAATGTCCGGCTAGGTTACCGTTTATTCCAGCACTTTCCGCTGGAGCTCTCAGTCATGCTTTGCCTGTCTGCAGACAGACAGTTGGGCAGCGCCCCCCTCTCGACTGCTGTGAACGGTGCCACTGTGGTCACGGGTGTTCAGGTGTCAAGTCTCTGCTTTGATCCTTTTCCAGTGTTTCTCAGCAGTGGAACTTCTGGGTCATGTGACATTCAACGGGCCTCACTATTTTATGTTTGCTTCTTTCTCTTTCTCTGTGTGTGTTGTACTTAGGCACATTTTGTGTGTGTGTGTGTGCATACTTGTACATGCGTGTGTAGATGTGTACACACACGTGTGTATATTCGTGTGTCTGTGTGTGGAGTCCTAAGGCTGGAAACATCCTGGCTTGCTCTTCCCCTTCACTCCCGAAGGCAGGATCTCTCAGTCAAACCCAGAGCTCACTGATGTGGCTAGTCTTGCTAGCCAGCTTGCTCTTGGGATCCCATCTCTGCCTGTCATGGCTGGAACTGCGGGTGGGCCCCCATGCCCGCTTGGGTTTACTCGGGTTTGGGGGATTTGAACTCTAGCCCTGACATTTTCCTGACAATTGCTTTAACCGGTGAACCCCCCCACCCCAGTTCTTCTTCACTTTTTAAGTTGTGAAACGAGCATATGCCTTTTTGAGCAAATCCAAAAAGTATTGGACAGAGAAGGCCACGCCCCTTCCTGCCTCAGGCATCTGGGCCTTCAGCTACCTCTTTTAGTCTGTGCACCCCGTTTCCTCTATCAAGGGCATCTTTTGGTATCATTTTGTTGTTGTGAGACAGGCTATCACGCAGGCTTTCACCAGACTCACTGGGTAGCAGAAGCTGGCTTTGAACTATTAGCCCCGGTGCTGAGGCTACAGGCCGGTGCTACCAGGCCAGCTTCTTTTTTTTTTTGTTTGTTTGTTTTGTTTTGTTTTTCGAAGCAGAGTTTCTCTGTGGCTTTAGAGCCTGTCCTGGCACTAGCTCTTATAGACCAGGCTGGCCTCGAACTCACAGAGATCCGCCTGCCTCTGCCTCCCGAGTGCTGGGATTAAAGGCGTGTGCCACCACTGCCCGGCCAGGCCAGCTTCTTTTAACGTCTCTGATGCATTTTTGTTCACAGGCATCCTTACAAAGCGTGGCACTGTTTTGTGTGTCTGTCTTTACCGTGCTGTGTTATCTCTCTGTTACTCATGCTCAGAGTCACTGTGTCATTACAGAGTAGATTCTTAATATCTTTTTAAAGTTCCCTGAGGGAAACTGGTTACAGATCTCCCAATTCTGCACACAGTTATTTCATCTCTCCAGGCCAGAAGCTACTTTATGGAATTATTGCTTACCTCTCAAAACATAACTGGAATTCAGTGTTCCTGCATTTTCAGGCATAACAAGCAAACACTAGCATTTCTCTCTACCCGACAGGTTCTTTTCCAACACTTTTTAGAATGTTCCAGAGCATAGATACAGCATTTGTTGTTGTTGTTTTTTAAAGGACTATTCTTGGTTGTCCACTTTTTTCAAAAAAAAAAAATATTTATTATATATACAGTGGTCTGCCTGCATGTACACCTGCAGGCCAGAAGAGGGCACCAGATCTCATAGATGGTTGTGAGCCACCATGTGGTTGCTGGGACTTGAACTCAGGACCTCTGGAAGAACAGTCAATGCTCTTAACCTCTGAGCCATCTCTCCAGCCCCAGCATTTGATTTTAAAACCAATTCCTTATAGTTTTACATTGTTATCATTATGAATTATATAACTTATGCAGAATTGTTGGAAATCCAAGTCCTACAGTGGTGGCTGACTCAGCCCGACAGCTCGAGACTGGGAGTCTGTCTAGACCTGAGCCCCATCGTTGGCCATGCTGTGGCTTGCTGTGAGACCGTAGCAGTTGGCTTGATTTCTGAGCTTCAACTGGGAACCCCCGGCCTGTCGTTACCCAGGCTGGCAGGCTGTTACCAGGCCCTGGACGGCGGCAACACGGCAGATGCATTAGTAGATTTCACGGGCGGTGTTTCCGAACCCATCGACCTGACCGAGGGGGACTTTGCCAACGACGAGGCCAAGAGGAATCAGCTCTTTGAACGGGTGTTGAAGGTGCACAGCAGAGGCGGCCTCATCAGTGCCTCCATCAAGGTAGGAGCGCAGAGTACACCCGAGTGGGGCCGAGCCTGGACCCAGGCATCACACCGACCCTTGACCCCATGGCTGACATTCTTGGAGAGCACAGCTCCCCTTCCGTGGTGCTGAGCAGCGATGCAAGTCCAGCCTTAACCCCCTGCACTATGCAATGCTCCTAACACCCTTTAGACTCCCTCAGACTTCTTTGGGTGCTTGTGTCCCTGCCTCCGAGGCACATTGTCAAGGCAAATGGTGTCAAAGCTAAGGGCAGCTGGAAGGGGGCAGCAAGGCCCTAGGGCAGGTAGCCTGAAGCCGGTCTCCAAGGGTCCTGTGCTCGGTCACTGCTGGGAGATAGGTGGGTGCATTGGAGTCAGGGTTTGAAACCATGGTACCATGAACCTGGCCCGCTGGCTCTCTAGATACATGGAGCCCTGGTTTGCGGTATCTGCTGAGTTCCCTGGAGTAAATACTGCTATCAAGGTCAGTTTCCTATTGCCCATGCTTTCACAAGCAGCTCTTAAAATTTCTGAGTGTTACCACCAGGCATGGTCCCGCACATCTGTAATCCCAGTACTTGGGACCTGGGAGGTAGAGGCAGGAGAATTGCTCCAAGTTCAAAGTCAGCTAAATCCGCAAAGAGAATTCTAGGCCACTCGGGCCTATGCATTGAGACTTGAAAAATTCTAAATATATAGCAGTTGGCTTCACTGGGGCAAGTTGGCACCAACATACTCTGGGATGGCTTCTGCAGGTGGTTGGTCCCCTGGGGTTCTGACCCTTAGCAAGGTCAGTTCTGTGTCTGTTCAGCTGCAGTTCCCACCCCTACCTGAAGGGGGCGTTGTGGCTCCTTAGCTTGGATTCCAGTGTGACCCTCCTGTCTGAGATCCTTTGTCCTCCTGCAGGCTGTGACAGCAGCTGACATGGAAGCCCGCCTGGCATGTGGCCTGGTGAAGGGCCACGCGTATGCCGTCACCGATGTACGCAAGGTGCGCCTGGGCCATGGCCTGCTGGCCTTCTTCAAGTCAGAGAAGCTGGATATGATCCGCCTGAGGAACCCCTGGGGCGAGCGGGAGTGGAATGGTCCCTGGAGCGACACGTGAGGCCTGGGGTTGGGGTGGGTACAGGCACAGAGGCCAGGACGAAATGTGACACTGGACTGGCTGGGTCTTGTGGGGTCTGGGGCAGACGGCCTGAGGAAAAGACAGGACACTTGCTTTCCAGTGTGTGTGTGTGTGTGTGTGTGTGTGTGTGTGTAGTGTCTGGGGGTGGAGTCATCAAGGACAGTGGCCTGGAGAAGGTGAGCTGACCTTGACCTGTGGGGACGCAGAGGCCAGTGTGACGCAGACAAGAGTGGGGAGGGAGGCCACTAGCTCCCCAAATGCTCTGTACTTGGCCAGTGGTCCCGAGGGGTCGGAGTCCCTCCTCCCAAATTTTCTCCTTGGCTTGGTAGCCCTGGCAGGAAGACAGATCACAGTCTCCAGTGGGAGGGGATGGAGGCTTTTTGGAACTGGGTCGGACGTGACTTTCAGCTTCCCTAACCACGATGCTTGGTCCGCTTGGTCCGACGCTGTGTCCTGGGGAGGTGGCCCTGGCAGGCCACTCCTCTTAACCTGTTTCCTGATGCTCACATCCCAGCTCGGAGGAATGGAAGAAAGTGAGCAAGGGTGAGCGGGAGAAGATGGGCGTGACCGTGCAAGATGACGGCGAGTTTTGGTGAGCGTTCTCTCGTCCCGAGTTTGGGCTGATGGGGACCCATGTGACAGGCGGTCAGAAGCCGGGGCTCCGTCATCATCAGTTTGTCTGTGGCCACCTCTCCAACCTGTTCACCCCTCTGTAAGACGGATCCTCGTACCCCGTGTCCTCTCTGCACACCTGAGGGACACTGGAACTCTTCCCACTCCCAGGCTAGTCCTAGCAAGCAAGCCACAGGGCCAACAGACGGTCACCTCAGGACAGCCATCTCCATCCAACTTCCTGTCTCTGTGCCCAGCCTTTGTCTCCCTGTGTCTACCCTGCATCCATCCCAGGTCCACCCCCCGCCCCCCATCCAATCGTCTGTATCTATTCCCTTCCTCTTTCCCCTGCATCCATTCCTCTGTGCCCATCTCTGTGGTCCGTCATTCCCTGTGTCTGTCTCACATTCCCTGCACCCATTTGCTAAAATCATCCGCTAAATCTGTCCATCTGAACCCAACACCCTGTACCCATCCCTCACATCCACTCTCTCCATCCATCCTATTTATGTACACACTGTTGTCAACACGTAAAATGCCCTCACAGCCAGCCCGCCAGCTGCTCTTTGTGTTGGTAACAATGTTGCACCCTTTAATTTTGCTCAATCCCCTGCCGGCCCTGTGAGACAGGCAACTGTTGCTAGGCTCATCCCCGTTTTACAAATGAGGAAAATGAGGCCTGAGAGAGATTTGGGGTTTTGGTAGTATTGTGTCTAACTTGCTTCTGTGGAGCTGTGGTTAAGGGCATTGTGGGGCTCACCCAGCTCCATGCCTTTCTGCACACAGGATGACCTTCGAGGACGTGTGCCGGTACTTTACCGACATCATTAAGTGCCGCCTACTTAACACATCCTACCTGAGCATCCATAAGACGTGGGAGGAGGCCCGGCTGCATGGCGCCTGGACGAGGCATGAGGACCCGCAGCAGAACCGCAGCGGAGGCTGCATCAACCATAAGGACACTTTCTTCCAGAACCCTCAGGTGGGCATGTGCAAGGACCACCCCATCCCACCCTGCAGCAGCTGTGAGACCTGACCCCTGCCCTGCCAGGGGCCCTTGCATCCCTCAGGAATGACCCAGACTGTCTCTGGGCCTCGTTATGACTGTGCAGTGAGGGCCCAGTGGACACCGTCTGGGGTCATGACGTCCCAATCTTACTGTCTGCACTGCGTGTGGTCACAATGAGGACACTGGCTCTCGGGGACTTGGCTGTTCCCAGGAAATGTCGCCAGGTTGTGCCCGCCATGGGGAGTCTCCCCAGCAGCTTCTTCGGCCAGTCGGAGCCCGTGTGCTTAGTCCTTAGACTCAGGGTGTCCTTACTGAGCGCCAAGAGTGTGCTAGGCTCTGAGGTGAGCACTTACCACCATTGAGTTCTCCCAGTCTTCGGGTGGGGCAGTCACTGTATGAGTTAATAGGTTCCTCTCCCAGATTGGGGGCTGATTTGGAGAGCTGATGGGGGTAGCCCAAGCTCATGCCACCAACATGGCTTGGGCTTAGCCCCAGAGTCCAGGCTCTTGGGAGCACGGGAGGTTGACCCCGGCCCCACCATGGGTCTTTTCATGGCCACACCCGCAGTACATATTTGAAGTCAAGAAGCCAGAAGATGAAGTTCTGATCTGCATTCAGCAGCGGCCCAAGCGGTCAACTCGCCGAGAGGGCAAAGGCGAGAACCTGGCCATCGGCTTCGACATCTATAAGGTGAGACCCGCAGCCGGCGGGACTTGTGGTGAGGGATGCCGGGTGTTGTGTGCCTGCTGGGCTTGTTGGCACTGCTGGCCCTGCTGCCCCCTTAGGGCTGAGCTTTTCCTCTCCTGCAGCCTCTTTGGGGTTGGAAGCTTTGCAACCTCTTGGGCTGCCAAGTAGGCGACCTTGTGCAGAGATAGGTAGACTTGGCTCTGACCACTCCCCTGGCTTATTGTCCTTCACATTTGATGCTTAGTATGGGGGACAATTGGCATGACAGGTCCCCACACATGTGCCAGCTCTTGAGAACCTACTGAACCCACACAGGTGTGAGATACTGGTGCATGTGTGGTCTCCAGCCTTTAGTGGTGATGACAAGGCTGTTTACCCACCCCTTGTGCTGGCTTATGCGTAGTGTGTTGACGTGTTGTGACACTTGGTGTCATGTCATGGCTTGTACCAATTTGACTGTAGCATAGAAGGTTGTATGGGATCCATGATTGTCTAGCATGTGCTGGTGTCATTTCATGGATTTGGGCTGGAAGTTAGGCACGTCTTGGTAAGTAGGCCTCCCAAACTACAAAGATAAATTCTGAGACTCCCTGTGGGTGTGCCAAACTGCAGATAGCACCACACCACGGCCACAGGGAAGACAGCTCATGAGCGGCTAATCTGTAGGTCCAGAACACAGTACAGATGCCTTGGCCAGACAAGGGGCTCATGTCCTGGATTGAGGAAAGTGAAACGCTGCAGGATTTCAGCACTTCTGAAACCGAAACTGTATAAATTATCTCTGCGTTTTCCTTTTGCTGTTTCCAGAGCATGGTTGACTGTAGGTAACTGAAATCGTGGAACTGTGGATACGCAGGGGTGGGGGTTGGGGACAACAGCATTTGATTCCTTTGTGACAGAACTGCAGGGTCAGGCTGGGTGTGGTGGCACATGCCTGTAATCCCAGCACTTAGGCAGAGGTAGGAGGAGCAGGAGCCCCAGGACAATCTTAATGACAAAGTGAATTGAAGAGACTTTGTCTCAAAAGCATAAAAAACAAAACAAGAGAAGTCTAAGGCCTGCAACCTGGTGACACTGTCAGTAGATTATCCTTGCTGTGAAGAGAACGTTCCACTCCAGTGGTCATCGCCACCCAATCCAGTCACCCTTCCGTGGGGGCCAGCAGAGCGTCAGTTCACCGGTGTGAAGCAAGAAGAAATTCCAGTTCAGCACAACTCAGTAGCGGGTGCTGCTTCAAACTCTGAGAGTCTGACAGCGGGTGGTTGATTTCAGACGTACGTGAGCACAGCGCAATCTGGGGAAAAGTTTCCTGGTGGCAATTAACTCAACCCTGTGTGCACAATAAAGGTTTACGCATGACTGCTGTGACATCTTCCATAAAGACAGGCTCTATAGATTGGCTACAGGTGACATCTTAAGTCTGTGGGAGGGCTTGGTGTGGTCTCGGTCATACAGGTGGTACAGAGGTCAGCAGGCTGTAACTGTCTCCACTCCCAGCCTCCTGGGTGGAGGACAGGTTATACGTTCCTCCCTTTGAAGAGATAACCCTGCGTGCGTGACATTACTGGTTTCCCTGGTGTTTATCTGTGAGCACAAGGACCTCTGTGCTTCTTCACCCTGCTCCTCTGCCCTAGCCAAACACTGAACTGATTTTGTCTTCATAGATTCTCTAATTCTGGACATTTCCAATCCATGTATCCTACTGATCCTTTCATGGTGGCCAGCGGGAGGTGGGATAGACTCGCGTGTGGCCCATCTCCTCCTGTCTCCACACAGGTGGAAGAGAACCGCCAGTACCGTATGCACAGCCTGCAGCACAAGGCCGCCAGCTCCATCTACATCAACTCGCGTAGCGTCTTCTTGCGGACGGAGCAGCCCGAGGGACGCTACGTCATCATCCCCACCACCTTCGAGCCGGGCCACACTGGCGAGTTCCTGCTCCGAGTCTTCACAGACGTTCCCTCCAACTGCCGGTGCGCGGGGACCAGAGCTGGTGGAATCTGCAGCCCTAGCCTGTTTGTGTCCGCTCAAGGCTTGGTACCCAGGATTCGGCATCCTCAGAGATAGGCATCCCTTGCCTCTCTCCTCCCCTGTTTGCCTGCCCGGCTTCTCTTGGTCTTCTCTGGGAGCAGCGACTCAGTTTATAAAGTTGCTTTCGCTTATTTTGCTTATCTTCTCACACCCCAAATGGGAGGCCTAACCACTCCATCTCATAGATGAAAGTAGGGACCAACTCTAGAAAGAGGGTCTGACACCCTCAGACCCTGTCTGTCTGTGTTAGTATGGGTGGAGTCACCCACCCAGCTGGATTGTCACCCCTGTCCCCCGTCCCATGGAGACTGGCTTTGGGGGGCAATGGGGGCTGCTAAACCCATTTTGAGGATGCAGAATAATATCTATAATGCCCAGCAGAGGATGTGGCATGCAGGAAGTGCTCAGTGCCCTGTGGTCCATGAGGAGGATGGGACCCTGCTGGGGTGGGGTACAGCGGGGACAGAGAGGCTGGAAGCCCGTGGCAGTGGATGGTTGGGTCTACCATGAGGTTTGGCTTAGGATTAAGTGAATGTCTGCAGTAAGTACTGCTCCTGACTTTGAACCCGTCTTCTTATCTTCCTGCTATCTGCTCCCCCGCCTCACCCTGTATCAGGGAGCTGCGCCTGGATGAGCCCCCTCGTACCTGTTGGAGCTCCCTGTGTGGCTACCCTCAGCAAGTGACCCAGGTCCATGTCCTAGGGGCTGCTGGCCTCAAGGATTCCCCGACAGGTGAGCTCATCTGGAGATTACCTCAGGCCCTGCCTCCTTCCACACAGACCCCAGCCTCCTGAGACCCCAGCACCTATAGAACTCACTCTGCAGGCCCAGCCATCCAGGAGGTGATGTGAGCTTCCAGAGAGGCCCACCTCCTCCTTCCTCAGATAGCACTGGGGGTTCAGGAAGGCTTCCTGGGGAGCAGACCTTTCTCTAGGCCAAGGTGTAAAATCTGTGTGTAAGAAGGAGTGGCCAGGACTGCAGGCCAGAGGCCACCTCCACGCCTCCCTCCGCCTGGCCATAGAAGGTAGAGGACTCCTGTCTGGAAAGTGGATCAGGCTCCTGTCTCCCTTCCCCGTTGTGACTAAGACCAGATTAGCTGGTCCCCTCCCAGACATCCATCCCGTTGGGCTCTGCCCAGCTCTGTCCTCAGCCCAGCTCCTCATCTTTTCTCCAGGGGCAAACTCATACGTGATCATTAAGTGTGAGGGTGAGAAGGTCCGCTCGGCCGTGCAGAGAGGGACCTCGACCCCGGAATACAATGTGAAAGGCGTCTTCTATCGCAAGAAGCTGGCTCAGCCCATCACCGTGCAGGTAAGGTCCATCCTGTTCCCTCCCGCGGTCTTCTCCCGCCCGCTCCCAATCTCCACCCCCAGCCAGTCTGGGTCTGAGAGGCAGCAAGGCTGGTCTCCCAGCTAGAGTCAGTGGTCCAAGCCTTGGCCACTATTCCTCAGCGCTCCCACCAAGTGTCACTTGGGAAAGTAATACTGAGATCACGTGTGACTTGTGGCTATTTCCAAAGAGGCCTGAGGAGGGAATCCAAATGCTAGTGTCCTTGGGCTCAGCTCCTTTCTCTCAGGACGCCTTCGGTCCCCCAAGCCCAGAGCAGCCTCTCTCTGGGCGAGAAACCATCTGTAAACAAATGTGTAGCATCCCAGGGGAGCTGCTAGATTTTCCAAGTGTTCTTAACGGTGGATCCCAATGGGGCAAATCATAGCCTTGTAGATACCGAAGCTGGAAAGGACCCTGAGGGGCAGGTGATTCAACCTGAATCTTAAAAATGAGGTGTTGGGTGTGGCTACGCACATCTTTAATCCCAGCACTCAGGAGACAGAGACAGACAGAACTCGGTGAGTTTGGGGCTAGCCTGGTCTACATAAGCAAGTTCCAGGCTAGCCAGGATTACACAGTGAAACCGTGTCTCAAACAAACAAAGGAAAAAGGGGCTGGGAGCAGAACTAGGTCAAGTCTGAGTTTACCCCCTCAGTTCAAGCTAGTGGCGAGAGTTTAGGCTTTCTACATGGTAGAGAGCTTTGATGGGAGCTGAGGGTCTACAAGAAGGCATCAATCCCTCAGTCCAGGACAATTGAGGAAAGAGGCTTCTAGGCCCTGCCCTCACACCCTGCCTGCCACAGGCTACACCCCTGGTCTTGGACACACCCCTCCCCCACCATCTCCCCTTAGATCTGGAACCACCGAGTTCTGAAGGATGAATTCCTGGGCCAGGTGTGCCTGAAGACGGACCCGGAAGACCTGCAGGCCCTCCACACCCTCCACCTCCAGGACCGCAGTCGCCGGCAGCCCAGCGACTTGCCCGGCACCGTGGCTGTGCACGTCCTCAGCAGCGCCTCCCTCACAGCCGTGTGACACCGGCCCGCTTGCCCGGCCACGCTAGTTCTCACCAGTCCTTGCATGTCCGCACCTGGCCTGGGACCAGCCCGGGAACCAGACACGGGGGGCCCTTTCCCCACTCCTCCACTGACCAACTGCGTGACCTGAGGAGAGCCCTGCCCCTCTCCGAGCCTCAGTGTTTGGAGGACATCTTCTTGCCTAAGATTTCAAGTAGTTCTCTCTACCCAGGGGGCTCTGCTGCTAAGGGGCCATCTGTCGAAAATGTTTCCCCAGGCCCTGTCTGCCGAGGAGTGCCAAGATGTCACTTGTTTACACACAAACTGCCATGTCCCGAGCCCCGCCCCTCCTCGCCCCCCCCCCCCCGTTTTCTAGCTTCCCTTCCAGGTCTTTACTCTATAGCAGCGTAAGGTAACCTTAATCTTCTTATCTTCCTGCCAACTTTCACAGTGGTGAGATTATAGGCATGTACCACTACACCAGTTTATATGGTGCTGGGTCTCGAACCTAAGGTTTGGTGTATGCTAGGCAGGCACTCTATCAACTGAGCTACATCTCTGGTCCCATTACACCTCTTTTTATAAGCTGTTTTGAAGGAGCCCTTAGTGGGCATCAGCCGGGACGTATGCAGGAGGCATTGGCTCCTTGTCTAATACCCTGTCCCATTTAGCTACTCAACATAGATTTGCCCAATTAGCCCAAAGAGCCACCCTAGGCTTCCCTATCTTCAGGTCTTCTCAGAGGTAGACACCCCCTGACTTCACCCCCATCTCTTACAGAGCTGTGGCCACACCCCTGAGAAAGTGTTATCCCCCAGCCTCTGCCTGTGATGTTGGAAAGAGTGGCTTGGGTCAGGCAGGTGGATGGAGGACTCTGGGAGACCCTAGGGGGACACACACTGCCTCTGTTGAAGGACCTGGGGGTTTTCTCAGAGGAAAGGGCTCCAGGAGCCAGGGTGGATGGTGCCAGGCCTTCAGGGTGATGTCATCTGTTGGGTGTCACAGGCAGGGACTCGCCTGTCCTGGTGAGACCTGTACCAGCATCCCCCAGACAGCAAGGAGGCCACCATGCTCTTGCTGTGTGAACCACCAATATCCCTTTCAGTCATCAACGTTTCATAGTCTCAGCACCTAGAGATATTCAGTCATCAACGTTTCATAGTCTCAGCACCTAGAAAACAAAACTCGGTGTAAAGGGAAGTCTACCCCTACCCGCTGTTCTTTCTAAAACTCATTTTGTTGGTCCTCGGCTTTTATTTTGACATTGAGTGTGAAAAGTCACGGGTGAAGTGGGACCTGTGCAGAGGAGTCCCGGAGGAAGATGGAGAAGAGCGTGCTGGTTCCTGGGCATCCTCAGGCTGGTCCAGAGTGCCTTTCTGAGAGGGCTCTTGTTCAGACTGGTGCTGTGGCTCACAGGGTCCCTCCTATGTCCTCCTTGGGCTTCCAGACCAGGCTTAGAAGATTAGGTCAACAGCAGCAATCCCTTTTGGGAGTGTGACTTTCTGTCTCTGGTCCCTAGTATGTGATCCTCTTCCCGGCTGGAAGGGCTGGATTCTGACTGCCATCTTGTTCCTCCATAGCTCTGCTCTTAGCCTGAGACGCAGGCCATGGGAAGGGCTAGGCAACGAAATAAAGATCAGAGAATTCCTCCTGCACATTTGGGGCTTCCCTTCAAAGACCTGGGCCTGGATTGTGCATGCCACCACGAGCAAGCACTTAAACCTCCTGTGCCTCAATTCCTCCCTCTGCAGCGTGAGGCCCGTGACTCCTTTTGTGGGGACTCTTACAAGAATAAGAGCGAGGTCACACCACTTCCGCACTACTGCGTGACTCTGTATCGTACGCTCCACATGTTCAAATAACCACTTCTCAATGGCTACTTCAGACAAAGACTGCCGTCAGGAATGGAGGAGGAAGCACCTGCTATGCCGTCTTAGGTCTTAGGGCCTGGCATGTGGGTCTTAGCTCAGCCATATCCCTCCGAGGCACAGGGCAAACCAGAACCAAGAAGCGAACTTGTTTAAGCTTCTCCTGGTGATGAGCCACTGCCTGCCGCCTCCAGCAGAACCAGAACCGGGCCAGAAGCCCTGCTCTTGCTTCCTCCCTCTCAGGCTAGGCCAGGCTGGCTCCTGGCTGTGCAGGGACCTCTGGTCCCCAGGAAGCCGTGAGGACTGGACGGGGTGAGGACAGTGTCGAGCAGGGAGAGCAGTGGCTTTGTCACCCTGTGCACCCGGGAGGCTCCAGTGTGCCTGTTGCAGGAGCTCAACCCTGCAGCCCACACTACAGGGACCACCAGGACCTGGCCTTCCTTCCTCCAGGACACCGCCCCCTGGGGTCAAGGGCATGTTATCTTCTCAGAATAAATATTGACTGCCACTCTTGAAAGACCTTCCTGTTGTCTGTCTGCTTCATCTATCCACAGCCCCGTGCCCGGAAAGGAGGGAAGGGACGTTGAGTAGCTGACCTTGGGTCAGAGGGATAAGCAAGGAAGGACTTGGGGGTCCCAGGTGAGGCTGGCCTTGCTGCCTGCCTGTTGAGCTCTGTGGCATCCTTCAGGTTCCCTCCTGTAAATCTGTGGGACTGGTTTTGCTGAGCCCTGCCCATCCCAGGCCCTGGGGAACCCTTCCAGTAATTTGGGAAGATGCACAAATCCTTTTCATGACACCGTAGTAGCGTTCTTGATAGGGCAGCACGGGAGCCCATCTTCCGTTCAAGGCCTGTGTCCTGGCCCAGGGGAGAGGAGACAGCACAGGTCAGGGACACAGATGGCCTGAGCAGAGATGCTGGGTACAGGTCGCTAGAGCTCGGAATTCATGGGCGGGGCCACGGGCGGAAGCCGGGTTAGGACTGACGCAGGCGCAGGTGAAAAGAATGGACCGCACTGACCGATGGGCTGTGAAGGGGCAGGAGGTGCCTAAGGGTGGTGTGAACCAAGTCCAGGTCTGCAATGGTTCGGACGTGGTGCCCTAAAAAGGCTCAGGCGCTGGAAATCCAGGTCCCTTCTAGATGGCGCAGAAAGCAGGCCGAGCCTGGAGAGGTACCGTAGAGTGTGAGCTGGAGAAAGGGATTAATGCTTTCTCGAGAGGCAGGGATGCTATGACAGGAACCGCCATGCTGAGTCTTAGGTTTCTGTCCCCAGTCAAGGTGAGCATCTTCGACAGACCACCTGATCTCAGGTGACAAAACAGACCCAAACGGATTCCTAGACCACTCTCTCACCCCGTCTTTCCATACCATGCACCTGCACCCCCGAGGAAACTCTGGGTGCTCCTATCTGTGTCTCTCCGGTTCGGTGTAGACCTACACTACTTGCCTGGCCCCTAAACAGCAGCCCATGGGTGAGGACTGCATTGGGTGCCCTTTAGCATTGGCCTGTGCGCTACCTTGCACTGCGGCTCCCTGGGACCGGAGGAAGCTGACCTACAGATGCGGCTTTCCCTAATTGCTGCCACCTTGGTCTTGTAGCAGTTAACTGTGTCCAACAGGTGGCGCCATTGCGCCATCGAGGCTCCCCGCCCCAGATTCTCCATAGGCAGCTTCTTTGCTGGCCAAGAGTTGGCGGGTGGGAGAAAGGACCAGGTCTCAGGAGGGAGTCCTCCAGTCGGTCCACCTTCCTCACCTACCAGGAGTGTTTTGTATCCTGTTCATTCCCACCCCCTTTGAAATCACACGTATTGTTTGACATTGGATGAATCTCCACCTGTCCAATGTTGCTCCTGGTCAGGTGACTTGGCGAAATGTCTGGGCAATCAGGAAATGGCACACACAAGACCCCTAGAACAAGCCGTGGAAGTGGGTTGAAAAGCCTCGTGGGGGCACATCTTGGGGAGTCCTGCTCTGGATGTTGTGTCCCCTGAGAGCCCAGGTGTTGCCAAGCCTGCCCATTGATAGGGTCTCTTATAGTGTTGTGGCAGAGAGTTGCTGCAGGCCACTGGGAACTGAGACCCAGCAAAATCACGACCAAGGCGAGACCAGATCAGGGGTCCCAACCATGCAGAGATGGCAGGTAGTGACACATATAAGAACAAGAGTCCCCTGAAGCCAGATAGGTGACCACAGGCCAGAGTCCCACCCTGGCCAGCCAGGCCTCCTGGGGCCTCCATGCCTTGGATCCCTGCTGGCTAGCCAGTGCTTCCCACAGCGCCTTGGGCAGCCTCTGGACAGTCCTCTCAGCCCCAGCACAGCCCGCCCCTCGTGCTGATGTCACCGTATCCAGACCTTGGAGGCCCCCTCGGGCTCCGCCTCCTGGGAGAAGGCTTTGGAGTGGGAGGGGAGGGTGTCAGTGCTGGCTGGACAGCTGCCCTGAACAGAAAGAAACAGAGTGGCCAGGGAGTCGACATAAAAACAGAAGAGGCCAGGGGACCCCAAAGCAACCTCAGGGGAAGACTCAGGCTGGGGCAGTGTTTGCAGACTCCAGCCCAGCCCCAGCTTGCAGGGTCCTCCTGTCCTGTGGCCCCTGACCCCAGGCTGGGAGGTGGCGACTCAGAGGGTGCGGATAAGATCCAGGTAAGGATGTGTTGTCCTGAGACTTTTGGACTGGGAGGAGCCATAGGCTGTGGGGCCTCTTCTGGAGCCCCTGCTCACAGCCTTGCATTCCTGGGGCTGGACTTCCCTGAACCTACAGGGGACTTGCCACCATAGCCATGGGAAGAAAATGTGCCAATCAGGGTACATGGAGGCTTGTATCTTGGGGAAGGGAAGAGCTGAAGAGAAAGGGGCTGGGATGGGATGGGGGCATCCAGGGCTATGGGAGAGGAGAGGAAAGGAGAGGAGGGAAGGGGAGGGGAGAAGAATAGAGAGGAGGGGAGGGGAGGAGAGAAAGAGAGAGGATGGGATATGGGTGCTTTTCTCTCCCTTCTGGTCTTTTTGGTCATCTCTCTCTCTGATCATCTTTCTTTTCTTACACAAGTTGCTTCCCCTCGGTAGCCTAATGCCTTGCATTTCCCCTCTGTGACTTGGGAATATGAAGGCCACCAGCCAGTGTTGCTGAGGAGACGAGGTAAAATCAGACTTAGTCGTGGACAAAGAAGTGGTTCTGTGTTCTCAATCTGAAAAACTCATGCATGGGCTAGTTCTTAGTTTTGGAAATAAGGGTGTCCTGAGCCTCGTTTGTGGGGTAAAAGAACCCCATGACTTTCCCTGACGCTTGGAGCTTCAGCTTTGTCCTGAGCCACCGTCCAAGGTTCGGGTCTGTCTTGACAGTCTTGTGCTAACACGAACGGCAAGAGCCAGGCGGCCTCTTCAGAGGGCAGCTCTCCTGCCCGCTGCCCGTGCGATTATTCCTTGTCAGTTACCCGGGCTGGTGTAGGTCTCCGGAAGGACCACGTGCCCATGGAGACCCAGGGCCTGGGGGTCAGGGCTCAGGTGTCAGGTAGTGTTGTGGGCAGAGGATCAGATGTCCCCGTGCATCTGAATGGGCCCTTGTGAAAACTTAATGCTCACTCTGGGGGGCAGGCCAGACAGGGAGGAAGGGACCTCACGCCAGGACCTAGGGGCTGCAGCTGCTTCCAGTGACCATGCCCAGGGCAGCCAATTCTACTCAGATCAGGTTCTGGGCCTAGCTAGCCCTGTGCTCAATGAGGTAGGAGATGAGGGCCATGGACAAGTGATAAATTACTCTGCCACGTGACCTCTGACTCCTGGAGTAGACCTGAACTGCGGTGCCAGAGCCCAAGTCTTAGTCCTGAGTCTTCCCTGCTCTGCTGTGTGTCCTCGGGCAAGTGACGATCCTCTCTGAGCTTTCACATCTGGTGTGGGGCTAAATATGCGACTTTCTAGGAGTCGCTTGGGGGTCTGGGTGTCAAAGGCTGAGAGGGTGGTAAAGGCTCAGCAGCTGTGGGCAGTAGAGGTGATAACAACAACTGAGTCTGAGCCCCGTGCTGGGAGGGGGATGGAAATCAGGGAGGGAGGAGTGGAGGGCTGGGGAGGAGCCCAGGTGGCCTTGCTGGATCAGAGCTGCCAGAGCTCAGGTCTCCGTGTGGTCTCTTCCCACAGAATCTGGTCACTCCGGAAGGTGCGCTGACGTGGAACCATGGTTATTCTTCAGCAGGTGAGTGTGTGCGCCTCATCTCCTCTCTCTGAGCTGGGGAGGGTCATGCTGGGTGGTCCGGGTCTCCCACGCTCTCTTCTCTCCTA